GCACCGCTCTCCACACACCATGACCCTCACAAGTGGGGGTGCTGCTGTGGCCCAGCGGGGCCCAGCTCCTCCGAAAGGCAACTCCCACTGCAGGGCTGAATCGTCAGGGTGGAGACAGACCCGGGTCTGAGGCCTGCAGAGCAGAGGGAGAGGCTGCAGAGTCAATGACCAGGCCTCAGTAAACCTATTTACTTTATTAAATCAACTTACAGTGTTACACAAAGAAACACCTGATCATTCTATAAAACCCTGTGAAAACAAAAAGTCATGCTGCTGAGATACGGTCCGTGGGCAATGGCTTCCCCAGGTCAGAGCCAGCAAGTGAAGGGCCGCAGGGCCTGGGAGCCTGGAGGGGTCCGTGCTGGGAGCTGAGGTGGGAGCAGGCCATTCTGAGGCCTCGGCCAGAGAGTCTGGTCCTCAGTGGGATCAACCTGGGTGGTGCCAGGGCCCGGTAGTGGGTTGCAGAGTGTCCCCCAAAAGTCTGTCCATCTGGAACCTCAGAATGTGACTTTTCTGGAAAAAGGATCTTTGTGGATGTAACTAGTTAAGGGTCTTACGATGAAAAATCATCCTGGATTTAGGATGGGCCCCGAAATCCAATGACTAGTGTCCTCACGAACGGCGAAGAGGACGCACGGACGCGAAGGGAAGGCCGTGTGAAGGGGAGGCCGGCGCTGGAGCTGGGCAGCCCCACACCGAGGACACCTGCAGCCCCGGGAGCGGCAGGAAGACTCTCCTGGAGCCTTCACACAGAACGTGGCTCCTGACTGCACTTCTGGTCTCCAGAATCACTTCTGGGTTTTTTGTTATTGTTTTTTTGGTCCTTACCCGAGGACATTTCTATCTTCAGATAGAGTGGGAGGGAGAGAGGGAGGAAGAGAGAGAGAGAGAGAGAAACATTGATGCAAGAGAGACACATTGACTGGTTGCTACCCACAGGACCCCAACCAGGGCCGGGGGACAAACTGCAACCGAGGTACGTGCCCTTAGCGGGAACCGAACCCGGGTCTCTCCGGACCGCAGGCCGATGCTCTAACCGCTGAGCCAAACCGGCCAGGGCAGTTTTATGCCACCTGGTGTGTGGTCATTTGTTACGGCAGCCCCAGGAAACTCACACAGCCCCGGGTTAGCGAGGGAAGCCTCGGGGCAGAGCAGGCAGACTGCCAGGGGGAGGCTCAAGGGACTTCCATTCTGTTCCTTCCCAAAGACTCCAGGGGACCCTGTAAGTGCAGGCAAAGCTCCATGGTCCCCCAGAACCGCTCCTCCACTCTGGGGAACAGGTGGGTAAGTTCTAACAGGCCGGGACCCACTCTGGGGGGCAGCCCATTACAGGCTGGTTTCCTGACTTGTGCCGGCCTTCAGCCTTGGCTAGAAGTTCATCTCAATCGCCTCTGATATTTTTAAAATGCTTATGCTTGAGCTGGCCTGGGAGTCTCCAGGCCACACCTCCAGTAGGTAATAGTAACATGCAGCCAAGATAGAGGACCCATGAGGGACCCCAGAAGTGTGCTGCTTCCAAGACCTCCCTTCCACTCCCAGCAGCCACCTGCAGAGGCCTGAGACCACCCCTTATGGCTCCGGTGCAGGTTTCAAGCAGGTGGCCCAAGAGCCAGGCCTGCAGGTGTTTCACTGGCCTATGGGAGGGGAGGGGCCTGGCCCACACAGAGGGTCAAGTCTCATCACAGTGCCCACACCAGGTTTCTACTGGAGAAAATTTTGAAAGCAACTTCTTAGCTGAGGGTTTATACAAGAGAATTGTGGAGACATAACTCTCACCAGGATGTTGGTCAATCTTAATGTTTGACTCTTCTAGTGAGTGGATTTAGATGGGGTGATGGGCAGTGTGGCAGAGTCTGGGAAATGCATGTGTCAAGAGGAGAACAGGTGCATATGTGTCGAAGGGAGAGCCAGGCAGGAGGCAGTAGAAGACCTGCTCCCAGCCACCCCTACGAGCATTCTGGGGCCCACGGGCTGACAAGGTGGCCTCTCCCCAAGGTCTGTCAGGTGGACAGGAGCCCCGAGACACCCAACAGGGAAACCCGGCTCTGCGTGGCCAGGTCACCCTCGGTCCTCATGCCAGCCCCTCAGGGCCTCAGGCAAGTTCAGCCCCAGGCAGAGGGAGGACTCACTGACTGCCACCCAGATGAAGCTGAACCCCCTCTGCCATCCACGCAAGAGTGAGGGTGGGGCCAGATTCTGTGGCAGGTCATTTTCTCCGACTATCTCTCAAAACCAGTAAGCTCTTGACCAACATCTGTGGTCAGAACGAGTGAAGGGGGGAGGGGGCAGGGGGCAGAGCCAGAGGCGCACAGAAAGGAGGGCGGGAGGGAGGGGTGACCATCCTGGGAACTGTCTGGGCACCTCGGCTCATTGAGACAGGGTGGCAGTGGACTCTGCAGGGCTGTGCTGGCTAATGGGCAGGATGCTCGGAGGGGTGGCTGGGAGTAGTCACCATGCTGGGGGGCAACTAGGGACATCCCCTAGAGCCCTTGGGGATCTTGTCTACTTCCCAAATGTCTCTGCCGCCATGTTAAGAAAAACAAACAAAATAACACTTCCCCCTTTCCATCTCCAGAGGATTCATTAAGATGAGCCTGTGTATGTACAGAATTGGAGCCGGGCCTCCCAGCCTATTTACCATTTTAAAGGGCACTGGGAAAGAAACGCTACCTGCTGTTTAAAAAAAAAAAAGTCAGCAAAGCCCGCAGTGGGGAGGGCACCTGCTTCCCTCTGGGCTTTCTCTGGTTCTCAGCACACTGACTCAGGGCCTCTGTGGCCTCAGTCTGGTGGGGTCTAAAACCAAGGCAGACAGCGCCTCTCCGAGCCACTCGGGGACCAACACGCACTTGGCAGCAGCTGTGGCCAGGCCCTGCGCTGGGCCCACGAAGGCAGGGGTGGATCCGAGGGGTCATGGCCTCGGCCAAGCCCAGAGCCCAGCCTGGAGCCAGAGCACACAGGGGTTCCTGTGGAGTCAGGAGGCTAAATGAGCCCCTAGGACAGCGTGCTAGGGGAGAGGAAGCCACGCAGGGGGCGGAACACAGGCAAACATGTGCTCTGAGCCCTGACGAGGCAGAAGGACATTTCACCGCAGAGAAGGAAGGGCATTCCAGCAGAGGCGACACCGGGAGCCAAGGTGTGGCGCTGTGAGGCGTCACTGTGTGGGGAGCAGCAAGCAGGCAGGGGACCAGGGGATAAGGGACCCAGCAGTGGGCAATGGGAGATGACTGGAGATGGAGGTGGGCTAAGATTTTGAGGGACTCAAACAACATGGAGAGCAGCTGATTCACACCAATGAGGACACTGCAAAACCTTAAGGTCACCGTTACCATCCACCACTGGGAAGAACACTGATCAGCCAAGAGTCTCACTGTTCAATGGGACACCAACTAGAGGCATTCTAAGTATTTTGATATTTGAAAACATCAAATAATTGGAATAATATCTGTGAGATATCTCTTTCTCTCTCTTACACACACACACACACACACACACACACACGAATACTAAGTCAGAGTCCAGAACTGAAGTCTGTTAGGCTGGAGTCCCAAATGCAGACGAATGCGGTAGAACTCCCCTTTTGGGGAGGCGAGGCCTCTGGTATGGCTGTCGCAGTTCAAAGCCCCGGCCTGGAGAGCACACCACGAAGACAGTGTGGCTGAGATCAGCACCCCAAAGCCGGTGCCCAGGGCTGTGCACCTCACCCAGGCCCCTCTCACAGAGCCTCATGTTCTGACTCTTCCATCAATTCTATCAAGTCCACTAGTTACCTGACATTTCAGGCGACTGCAGAGGAAAAGCAGAAAATTAGAGAGAGGCGGAGAGAGGGGCTGTCTATGGGGCAAAGACGATGCTGACTGGTCCGGAGGAAGACACAGACTGAAGAGAAGACGCGGAACTGAAATCGGCAGTAGCTGTGCTCCAGGTCCTTGGTCAGTCCGGGAAGGCAGAGGGACCCCTTAGCACAGCTGTCCCCAGTGTGTTCTATAAATACTTCTCCTCTGAGGACTCAGTGACAAAAAGATTCCATGACCAGATACATCTGAGAGATCCTGCACACTACACCCCTCTTTCAGCACAAACCATACATTGATGCAGTAAAGGCCCTGAGAAGTCCTGCAGTAGAAAAGTTGATTTAATCTTGTTCACCAGTGGTCCTTAAATCTATACAAGTAAACCTTCCTGCTTGCCTTTTTTTTCTCAAGTAACACCTACTACATTCCTTGGAATGTAGTACCCAGTGGCTTAGAAAAATGCATTATTATTTGTCTCTGTTTTAAGGAAGAATATATCTTTTTTCTCAAACATAGCTAAAATGATTACATTTGGTGCCTTTTGCAAAAAGCTATAGTTGCAGGGAAAAATCACTTCATTTGCACAAACCTCCCACTCACCAATGGTGCCAGGAAAGTGAAATGTTACTGACCCTCAAGAGCTCAGTCTTTGGGACACCTTTGGGCCACTTGTTGACCCCAGACCACACCGAGAGCAAGGAGCCAGAGGTCACTCCATCCAGCCTCCTGCCCGTCACATCAACCTCTCCAGGGAAGAAAGTGCCTCAGCAACCGTGTGTGTGTGCGCGCGTGTGTGTACGTGCACATGCATGAGGTCCAGAAAATGTAACCATGCCCAAGGAGCAAGTTCTCCTACGGCTCTTTCATCTTCGTTATTTTGCATCTTGTCCATCTTCCTCCCTGTGATCACCCAGCCACTGCAATGGTTAGACTGCCCATGGGCAGCAAGACGGCACAGACTGAAAAGTGTCCTTTCTCTCCTTTGCCCAGGTTTGGATCTCCAGAAGGGCTCAGGGTCATTACTGGGCTGGGGCCAGTGTACAGATGGGAAGCTCCTTCAAGGCAAAACAAAGGGCCCGTCCCCAGGAACATCCTATTCTCATCGCAGGATTAGCAAGCCTCAGAGAGAGCAGCACAGTCTCCAGGCAACTATCATGGCTGCAGACACCATGGGTGGGGGTGGGGGGGACAGGGCACCGAAGACCTCACCTGGTACGTGTTGTCGAAGCTGTCATACATGAACCTCGTGATCAGAGACGTCTTCCCGACTGTAAAAGAACAAGAAGACAGGGGTTTAGCCATGGCGTCCGAGCGAGTTTCTCCTAAACACATTTCACATGAAGAAAACAGGTAACAAAATGCCCAAAGGAAAAGATGAGATGCGGAGACAGAAGTGAAAGGCAGACCCGGAGAGAGAGACCCAGAGCGAGGCAGCTGAGTCTGCAGGGGCTGGGCTGCAGAGGAATTCTTTGCAGGCACCAAGGAGGAGGCTCTTCCTGCCCCGTGAACGCTCTCCACCCAGTTCCAGGTCTTTCTTGACCCACAAGAGTCTAACTGACCTCTGCAAGAGCCATTTACGAAGAAGCAGAGCAAGTGGGTGCAAGACAGGTGCTCCTCTCATCCTGGCCCATGTTCACCTGGACCCACGGCCTTGTCGCGGGTCACAGGCTGGGACGGAGACATGCTGTTTTGTTCCCATTTACTCAGTCCGGAGGCTGCTGAGGAAGATGGCTTTCTAAGGAACCAGAGGGCAGGAGAAGTAAATGGGACACTCCCCAGTGTCTCTCATGGGCAGGACTGTCCAGCTCCTCTCGGGACATTTAGCATCCCTGGACCTCGCCGGGTAAGTTCCAGCAGGATCCTGTCATTGGACCTGCCCCTCACCCACCCCCCATATTTGCAAATGGTTTCCAAGTGGCAGTAACACCCCAACTGAAAACCACTGCTATGGCTAAGGGAACGAGGAAGTCTCTTGGGAATCCCACAAATGCTGCTAATTTCCCTAACTGCAGGGTTTGGCTTGTTTGGCTTCTGACCTAACCCTGCGCAGGCCCCGTGGGGCCTGACAGTGGCAGAAATGCCTACTGGAGCATTTCTATCACCAGGGAGGGGAGGAAGGGTAATAAAGGAACATCTGTTAGGTCAGGCCCAGCACGGAGAGCTTCCCTAAACTGAGTCTGCCACGGCCCTAGGAGACTCAGAAAGCCAGCTGAGTTTGGCTCACAGTCACTTCTGCTCCGGGCTGCCAGAAACAGACACCCCTGGTGGGAACGTAGGAGAGCCAGCGCCTGAGAGTTCTCCATTCCGCTTCTGCCCGAGGCCCGGACGGGACGGCCACAGGCTCGGCCTGGCTGATCGCTGTGACCAGCTGGGGCTCCTCTGGGAAAGATGCTTCTCCAGTGCTGAGGCCTCAGTAGGGCAACATTTAACAGACAAGTGCAGCCATCTCCTGACAGCCAACATTTGTAACTGTATTCCAGCCTGTGTTTGGGGCAAACTGAGGTGGCTTCATCTTTGACCCAGAATTGGTTAGCTGAATTCAGATCCTAGCTGGGGTACTGCTTAGCTGCGTCATTCTGTGGTCCCTGCCCCTCTGGACTTCAATGCCTCATTTAAAAAATGGATGAAGCATCGAAGACGTCAAGGGCAGCAGGAAGACTGAAGCATGATGATAAAAGTGCCAGGGACACGGGAAATGCTTCAAACTGGCGGAGGGAGGCGGCAGGTAACAGAGAGCTGAGACCACCACCACCACCGCCACCACCGCATCACCTTGCCCATCATGCTGTAGCCTTCATCATAAAACTGGAATTTTAAGCAGAGCACTTTCCTGAGTTTTGTGAGTTGTTGTGGTGAATTATGGGACCTGAAGAGGGTCATGGGAACCTTCAGACTTGTAGCCAATTGGTCAGAAGTGTGTTGTCGTTGGAGACCCCACTGTGGCTGGCATCAGAGGTGGGGGGCAGTCTTGTGGGGGGCTGTGCCCTTAAACCTGGGGAGTCTCACGCCAACTCTGGGTGGGCAGTGCCGGGAAGGACTGCAGTGCACCAGACGGTGTCAGAACAGCCACATTTCTAGAACTTCTCTGGGGTGAGCACTCATGCACCCAAGGCCTCTTCTCATTTTACCTGAAAACTGTCCTTAGCGCTCTTGATGGGCATTTAATCTGTAAAGTGCTTTCCAACGGCTTTACATCTTCCCTTAAATTTCATACGAAGGTGGGAGGTGGGAGCTTCCCACACAGAAAAGCCTGACTAGAAATCGCGAAGGGGACCCCAGAGTGAAAAAGTGGAGCAACGCTGAGCCAGCAAGAGGCAGAAGAAATCGAAGGGAACACAGCTTCTTCCTTGTCCAAGAGGCAGTGGAAAGTTACAGCCTCCTCCTTGGGAAGGAGGCACGACAGGGCCCCCGGGTAACTTCCCTGGGTAGTGACACTCCCATCTCACTCCTGGGGGGCAGGCACACACATCAGGGAGCAGGGTGAGAACAAGGAGGGGAGACACCGGGTTCTTCCCCGGGGCAGCAGACAGGCAGGAGAGACGGTGGAAGCACAAAGAGGAGGTTCGTGGAGTAGCTGAGAACTTAGAAATCCCTACAGGGGTTTCCAATGCCGAGTCACCCCTCTGGGGACACCAGCCACTGGCAGTGGATTGGTACTGGCTCGAAGAGTAGAAGGAGAAAATCCCAAGAAAACAAGTTGCTTATTGGGACTGTGCAGGAGGAACAGGGGGCCTGGCCATCGCCCACATTTTCTGAACATTCCCACAACAACCATCACAGGCATCGCGTGTGTGTACAGCGCGTGTTCCAGGCGCACGCCAGGGGCTGTGCCAGGCAGACGTCCATGGCAGGAGTGAACGGGACGGGACTCCTGCTGCCTGAAGCCGGCAGGATTCCATGCTCACGGCAACGCTGTGCTGAGCCCTAGGCACCAACCCGTCTGGGCCTCGACTCTGACGCGGATATTCATGTCACCCCCATTTTGTACAAGGGGGAACGAGCTGACAGCTATCTGTCCAGGGCCAGGGCTGAGTGGGGCCAGGATGAGGCGGCCTGACCAGGAATTGAGCTCCTATTCCTGACCCTTCTTGGCATCTCTGAGTCAAACTGGGTTTCAGGATCCTGCCAGGTCATTATTGTCATCACTGTGGAGTTATGGAGTTCCCGGGAACAGCCTCTGCCAAGACAAGGCCCTTCTCCTTGGGTCCGGCTGCAGGTGAGGGCCTCGGCCCACTCGGGTGGTGCCTGAGCCAATCTGGAAGGTGAGAACCTGGAACCTGAGGTGCCCTGTGGGGCACAAGGAGGACTTGCAAAGCGAGGGTGGCAGGTTTGAACGCCTGGGGCCCAGCACCCCAGCATCCTGGACTGGATCATCATTGATTGGCTGCAAAAGGGCAATTCTTACTATTCCTCCTGGCCAGTTTTTCTCATTTCTCAGAGAAATCCTCCTCTCCCCTGCCTCAGAGCCTCCCCAAGACTACCCGATCCTCCCCCCAAGGCTGCCAGGATAACGTGGCTCAGACCCTTTCTGAACTTGTCAGCTCAGCCTCCCTGTTTAGACCCCTCGATGGCTGTCCCTCCGGTGGCAGACAGCTGCACTCTTCACTGCAGGCAACAGGCTGTGTCCTGCTCCAGCCCCCAACTGGACAAGCCGAATGCGGGCCGCCACCCTGGCCCTCGACCCAGGGCTCCAGGCCAGAGCGCACGAGTATGCAGGGACCAGCCAGCTCTCGGAGGAAAGCCTGGCAGCACCCTGACATGACTGCAGAAAAGGCGTCCTCCACACTGTCTCTGAGGCTTCCTAAGGCCCTGAGACGGAACTGATGCAAAGGAGCCCCTTCCACACGGCTGCCCAGGCTCTACCCCGGCATCACAGAAAGGAACTGAGCTGGTAAAAGGGCTGCCCTGTGCCAACCTCCTGTCCCCTTCTGCCCCTTCTTCACCCCACACCTGAACAGGAGGTACCGGAAATGGTGAGTATGCACAGCCCATCTACAGGCCGCTTCCAGTCTCACCTGACAGGGCACTACCACTGACCCGGAGCCACGGGGAGACCCAGCGGGGCAGAGGCGTCAAACCAGTGCAGACAGGGGTAGCACATCGGAGGAGCAGGAGACACTCCTGAGGTCCCTCCTGCCCTCCCACCAGCCCCTGCAGCCTCTGAGAGAGTGGTCATTCCACCCAGCTTCTTCTCAAGGTCACACTGTCCTTAATCCTGTCTAACAACAGTCTGAGACACCAGTACGGCAAAGTGGAGCTTTTTTATGAAGCAGTCAAATCATTATTGAGCCTTTTGTTGTTGTTGTTGTTGTTAATCCTCACAAGAGGATTTTTTTTCCATTGAATTTTAGAGTGAAAGAGAGGGAGGGGGAGAGAGAGAGAGAGAGAGAAACATCAATATGAGAGAGACACATCCATTGATTACCCCCTGAACCCAGGTAGGTGCCCTTGACTGGGATTTGAACCCTCGACCCTTCGGTGCTTGGGCCAACGCTCTAACCACTGAACTATACCGGCCAGGGCTCATTATTGAACCTTTTCATCTCAGCTCATGGCTCAGCAATATTCCTGTAATCTTTTGGTGGTTTAGTCCCACATAATTAAGCAGAGAGATGTATTTTCCTTTCAACTGAACAAGAGTGAGAATATTCATTACTGAGTATTTACCAGGAAGCTCCAGAAAGCAGGAATGGAAACTCTAACTCTCTCGGGGCTGCTTCTTCGTGCCAGACAAGAATTCAGTGCTTTACTTAGGGTACCTATTTGATCCTCGTCACGATCCAATGAGTGAGTTATCCTCCCCTCTGTCCCAGAGCTGGTAAGCACTGGAGCTGGCGTACAAACCCAGATCTGACGCCAAAATCGTGCCTCATGCATGACTGTGCGGGAAGCCAAACCCACCAGGGCTCCTGGGCTTGGCCTGGGCCCAGGCCATGGGGTGACAGCTGAGTGGTCTGTGAACCTCCAGATTCCCACACTGACACTGTCTCTCTCCATGAATGACCCCTCTCCACCCTGTCATCTCCATGTGCGTGTGGGTGTGGGTGGAGACATGGCCATGACGGCCAGAAATGGAGAAGAATGTGAGGCTGAGCACAGGAAATCAGCTGGAGACTTCGTGGAGGGTCTGCCAAGGCCTGGCAGAGCATGCACCACGCACGAGGTGGCCCCCTTGCCAAGCCCACCCAGAACTGGGCCCATAACCTGCTCTCAGCCACACGTTCCCATTTACCACCCACACAGCTCTGGGGCACTGCTGGACAGACAG